AGAACTTATTATTTAAAAATTATTGTAAATTAAGTAAATAAAATTCATACTACAGTAAATTCTCCCTAATTGACGCTTAGATTGTGCACAAAAATGGACAATTTGGGAAGAGGAGATACGATTATTTGAGCTTTGCGGCTCGTTTTTATAGTTACCGATTAGGGAGAATTTACTGTATTATTTTTCTTCTCCTACAAACAAAATTATAATGGAACAAAATAAAAATATTGCGATGTTCGAGTATCAAAGTTGCTCACTCTGTGTGAAAAACATCAAAATTCATGCAAAACCGTTAGCAGCTAAAGTATCGGTGGTATCCGTTATCGAAAGCAATGCGATACTGTTACGTGTACCTCTAACGTTTCCAGTCTTGCAAGCTGGACGAATTCTCCTATTATCTTCGCGAGACGGCCGCTATCGGGACGGAATAACTTATCGAGCGTTAAAAGTTCACGTATTCGGGACCATTTACACGGTAATGCCTCGATCGTTTGTCCCGACCTTTCTGCGAATCGCGAATACGTACGAGGCGTCGCCGTCGCTGGCATTCGAAAGTATAATCGCGTGAAATCGTTTCGAAGAAGGCCGTCGTCCGAGGAAATGGCAATGGCCACCGGCACGCGGCCGGAATGGTAACGAGGCGGTTGATTGACGTCGTTCTACCCAAAACCTTGAACAGCCTCGACAGCTTATCGTGGTGTACATTTGTCGTTTCTATATCAGCCGCAGTGAAACTCTACTTTCATCGATAATTTCTTCAAGGATGTAAACACGTCAGCTGTTCTTATCTATGGAATCATTTTCTTGGAAATTGCGCAGGAGAGAATGGAAATAGAAGACCGACAATTCGATCGCATCATTTCCCACAAGCAGAGATAGCAATTATCATCGTAAAAATTACGTGAATTGTTCAGAAGCGAATCATTGTAAGTCCACTTTTCTTCGAAAATGAGTTCCACGGAACAAACACATCTTCATCATAGCATCTTTCAGTCGATAAATCAATACAATAGATTTGTTCATAAATAAACAATAGATAGCATCGCTTGAATTGACCACGGGGTGACTAAACAAAATTGTTCGGAGTGAATTGTCTTTTGTTTTCTTCTCTGTTTCCCAAAAATTGTGCTTTGCTTTATTAGTGGCATTGTTATTTTTTACAATCGTAAAAATTTGCAAAATCCTTATTTATCTTAATTTTAATGTTATTAAACTTACACCGATTGGTTTTTGAACCGTCCAACGTGAAGTATAGGAAGTGGAAAAAAACCTCCACGACATGCGACACATGACGATAAAATCAGAAACGACTGGTAATTATTCGAGCGATAGATTCACTTCCATAAATGGACTTAAAAGAGAAATTGACATCGTCGGTGAAGCGACTTATCGATAAGAATGGAACAAGAAATTCTTATAAAGCCAATTAAAGTACGATTATGACACTTCGCGCTTGTTGTTTACATAAGATGATTCACACTTGAGGAAAGTGAACGACTCGGTATCTCCTTCGGCTGAAGAGATACGTGTAAAGAAACTGGAATAATGTTTCGTTCGGGACTGTTAGCGAGGTCGTGGTTAACGCGTGTGCGTGGGCGTCAAGGTCGCCGGAAGGTTAGTTACTGTTTTATTAATAAGACTTCATAGCTTCTCGCTTGTGCGAAGATACGATTAACGGTAGATCAGGGTTATTTAAGCTTGGTCAAGGTTGAATCACAAATTACCGTAAATCTTCGAACGTAACACGCTATCAAACTCTTAAACTCGAACGGCACACTTTTCTAACAAAAATATAACTGACCATATTCACGACCATTTATAATTTTATTTATTAATTTTTCACATCTATTTTTTAAGGTATTCCTTCTAGACACGTTATTTATTCTATAGATTGAAATGAAACTCGTGAAAATTTAAATCTAAAAAAGAAACATGATATTTAGATAACTGTTTCTAGACTCAGGGTCCAAATGGACCCAGTGTCTACCTAAGTGCTAACACCAAGCATCCGACATCTTTCTTTTTGTCTTGTCGATAAGTAAGGGAACTTCGAGCGACTGAATTCCTTGTTCTCTAACTTGGTATTCTCGAACACTATCAGTAGACAATAATTAAGATAAATGCTTGAAATCCACAGCTCAATGATCGAAAGTTTTATGCGATCGGATTTACGCTACTCGCTCCATGGGAACGCGTTCCGCGAAGAAGTATCGTGGCAGGACCGTTAATCCTATTTTAACAGCAAAACGGAAGCGAAGCAGTCATTAAGGTCCATATCTGGCACGGCGAAGAGCGAAAATATTTTCGCCGCATCCCGAATTTATTTTTTCACGAGGAGCCGCCGCTATTTCCGTCACGCCGTAAATTACAGCCCACTCCGGTGTAATTCTCTGAATCAAACGCAACGAGCTGTTTCGTTTTCGGAAAAAATTCGCCGAGACGCAACATATCTGACACGACACGGATGGCGAGACGGAAATAAACAGTTTCGATCGCGTTCTCCAAAGCGGGACCGTTTGTTTTCCCGGCGTTCCCAAAAAAAGAATCAAGGTTTATGATTTATCGGCGATTGGCGAGTCAATTGTTGTTCGTTCGCGCGGACGTGAAATTCAATTGTATATTTATCCAGATGGGCGCTATACATATATCGGAGCCGGATTATAACATAACAGTCACGGCGAGAGCGGTGTCGATGCCAAAGTTAGAATCGGCTCTAAAAATACCGGAATTGCGAGCCTGAAATAGTCGAGGCGGACAACACGAATTCTACGAGAAAGATGACCCCGGACCGGGTTCCTGATGCACATCGATTCCGATTGCTTTCACATTGGAACTGCCAACGATCGAGGTATAACTGTCCACCATTTTTCAACGACACAACATAATCCCTGCGTTGCTGACAGGCCGCACGATAGAATTCAAAGCGTAATCGAATAAAATGTACAAAGGTGTACCAAAGCTGGATACGCGTTGCGAACTAGTACCGGTACGCGTTCTAGGTCAACCGAAAAGAAATCTGCGAAATCTGCCATATCCAACTGCGATTGTAACGGAATTCGTTCAGAATTTGAAGTTTCGGTATATTGTAATAATAATACTCTAAAACAACCGTGCCTTTTAGACGCGTGGAAACCGTATTTATCGCGCCGCTAAATAAAGTTTTATTACAAAATACGCACGAGTAAATTGATATAATTGCCCATAAAAGCATTTTTTCACAAAACACTCGTTATTTCTCTGTTCTTGTGTTTGCTTAAAATACGCATGTATAGTTCGCATTCACTGTAATTACAAACTCGATATAAAGTTTAAGGATCTGTTCACACTTGTGCATTTTGTAAACACGAGAAATAAAAATTACTGAACGTAAATGAAAATTCTGTAACTAAATAAGACAGAAACAAATTCATAGAACCGACTCTTTCATTAATTATAAATTCCGGTTCAATTTCTTTGTACCAAAGGTTACGTACAGATAATTACTTTAATGATCCTTTTCAAAAATGTAATTCGTCGTATAGAATAATTTATTTCGAACGTTCAGCTTTTTATTTGAATACCATATCGTTAAGCAGCTTAAAGATACATGCCAATATCTTCGGTTACGTTTATCAGAAATTGCAAATCATTCGTTTTAACTACCTCGGCAGCCTCTCGCGTTTTAAAAACGTAGCCGATAATGGCGCCATCAATATTGGAAACCGGCACGGGTTCTTAACCGTTCGAGTTCGGCTCCTCGTGTTTCCTTGTAGCTCTTATCGGAACCGGTGTGTGCGCATGCCGTGTAAGTGCAATGTAATCCAACGCGGAGGAAATGTCTCTAACTTTCTTCGACGACGCTTTCTTCGAAAGAATGCGTACTGACAAAAGAAACGACATCGGGAAAAACTTGCGCGTTGGATGCGTGTTCGATCTCGACTCCGAAACGTCTCTTCGAGATTCGCACAGACTAAAGAAACAAGGATTTACATTTTAATCTCGTGTGAAAAGTCCAAGTGTATTTTATAGCGTTGCATAAAACCATTTCGTTCGAAGGATTATGAGTTTGACCGCTGCAATAAATATAATGGCTTTACTTGTGAGTAATTTGAGTAAGCCGGCAAGAAGCAATTAAAACTCAATTTCAAACGTATCGTTAAATATGAAACTGATCTGGTAAATGCAATTTAATTAAAATACTTTCAGAGAAGTGTATAATTGGAGATTACACAAAACCAAAGTTGGAGAAATATTGTAGCTGCAATTATCGTGCAATAAAGAACATGAAAATGTTCTTGGGATTGTGGGAGATTTCAGGATGCAATTGCAAAATTAAGTATTGGAGATGCTTCCCTTCTATGTCAACATAGAACAAGATAAGAATGACAGGCTATAAACATTTTAATGTCTTCAGAAGTAATAAAATATACGTTTATGAAACTACCATGTTGCGGAATTACGAATTATCTGAAGTTATACAACGAAATATTAGTTTATAATAATAACGAAACTATAATATTTAATGTTTAGATCTAACTCTGTTTTACAAGAGCTAAAAATGTTTACAGTAAAATAGCATACGTAATAAAATAACATATGTAACAAAAGATACGTAAAAAATGTAGTTATCACATTGCAGCAGCTTTTTCAATTGCCATCACAGATTCCTGTGTATCAGTGAAACGGACTCATTAGGCGATCTTTCCGTCTAATACACAGAGAGATTAACATTTTCATAGAACAGTTGTTATAAGGATGTGGACGTGGACGTGTGTGCGTGGATTCTCGTGTAGCCAGCGTTTATCCTATGAATCACCGATAAACGACAAACGCTCGTCCATCCAAAGAAATTAAAACACGGACGTAAAAAGACGGAACCTCCGACGAACTGCCAAACACGAAAAATGCGAGCGATCGCCGCGCCTTTGAACAGCCAGAAAATCGAATAAACAAACATTACTCACAGAACGGCTCGATATATCCCAACAACGATCCAGCGTTTGCCATTCGGCTGCGAAACTGGCCGGCAATATCAGCTCACAGAAACAAAACACCGGTTTTCTCACCTCGTCACGCGTCCCCGAAGAATGACGCAACGAGGGAACGAACTATTATTACATCAGGGAACGCGACGAGCAACAAGTACGCCGGTTTTTGCCAGGCACGCCAGGAACTTGGTGCACGCAGGATTCCCGTGGAGTGCACGTGGCACTGATACACGCTCGCCTGACCGCGCGCGCGCGCACGCACGCACCGATACGTAAACGTACCACGAGGCGAACGCAGAGAGTTCTTCCCCTATCGCAGATGCCAGGCTGCTCCGGGTGTCCCTCGTCGTTTTTCCTCCGTTTCCCGCCTTCGAGCTGCGGCCCTTTCGCGTCGTCCTTTTCTCTCTCGGAAGGACGCGCCACGGTCTCTGACCACCTCCGGCTGCCGTCCCGGTAAGTTCACAAGACCCGAACAATGGCCTCACAACGTCATTACACGAGCCGTTGCTGGCTCGTTGACTTTCCGAAAACACGACGAACTCGACACGTGCGTCGTCCCGGAAAAACTCGCAGCTGATGCACGAGGCGTGCGTCTGGCCGGTCGAGTAGGGGGGATGCGCTTCCTCTGGGAACGCTGGCTTCTGGACACCTCTCGAGGGCTTCCCGAAAAAAGCTAGTTTAAAGTTCCTCGCAGTTCGAAAGTAATTTACAAGAGAAGTCGTCGTGCTACGAAAGGAATGCCACTGCCGCGAGCAGATATTTTTTTAGCTTCGAATCGCTGAAAGCTATTATTTCTTTTATTTGGACGGTTCAGTTTCGGCCGGCGTAAGAAGCGCGCGCGAATACGGAGGAAACGGACGCTATGCCGGCACTGCGTTCCTAAGCGGCCACTATTTTAGAGTCGAGCGGTACGCGTGAATTCCTTTCCACTCCACGAGCACAGTTGGGAACACGGCGTTCCGGCGGTTTTCTGAACACGAGCGACACGCCCTGGCCGCACGAGCCGCGCGATGATCCACCTGCCTCGATCGATCCTCGTTCCACCGCACACTGACGCCCGATCCCACCGGTTCTCGATCGGTCCTCCTTCGACTCGGGGCACGTGACCCTCCGCCGCCTCCTACCGTCTGTCTACCTGCCGGCGTGAGTCAACCGCTGGAGTTTCGGCGAATTTCCGCTCTTTTTCGCGACTGCACCGTCTCTGCCGCGATCGCTGCTGTTTCCGTTCAAAATTGCACGTCGTCGACGGCGTCCTTGGACCCACGCCGCGATAGGCTGATCTATGGTCTCGACGATGACAATTCTGTTCGGCGCCAAGGTCGACGTCCAACGCTACGAAGATTCGTAGATCATTCGTATGTTTCGATCGCGGAGCAAACTCGGAGCTGTCTTCTCGCTTCTCCAATTAAGCTGTCGGAGCTTTATTGTTCGACGTTTGCGACGTTGATCGATATATACGCCAACAATAGCGACAACGACGCTGGTATTGTTGATTGATAAACCGGAGAATCCTCGCTCGGCCGACGATTTCCCACGAGTGCGTTGATAGGAAAAGAGGGAGGGCTTGCGTTCGCCTACTCCAAATCGAGCATGATAAACTCGATCGTTCGAATAGCAGCCTTTCTCACGAGCTGATTTATCAGCCTCGCGACCGTATCTAGCCGCCAACGATCAAAATACGCATACTCGATCGGCCGCCTCGGCTCGGCCGAATCAGCTTCTTACCGATCATCCGTCTCAACGACCGTCAACCTGTTCCTCCGGATATCGCTTCAGCAGAAGTTAAACAAACGTTCCGGGCGCTGTGCTCGGTCGCGATAAAATCGAAGAATTCGTGCGTGCCCGGCCGAAGTTTTCTGCATCGGCGAGCGACCGCCGTGATCGACGCCGAACCGAACACTGGGGCCGTCCGTACGGAACCAGACACCTTTGTTCCAGCTGTCCTCGGCGTACCCAGGTGTCTCGAAATCACCTGGAAAAAAAGCCTAGCCCCGGCAGAATCCGAGGAATCCAGTCGTATCACTTTCACCGAACCGTGCACCAACAATTACTCCTCGCTCGATCGATCTCGGGTGTCCTCCGCCGCGGTCAAAGAGCATCGGAACGCCGGGAAACCGGTCCAACCGAGGCGATCCGAGGTAGTCGGCGCACGGCGTTCACAGGTAACCCACCGGGGTTCAGCGGTTCAATTTCGCCGCGGAATCGGGGCCCGCCGAAACAGTGCCGGTCGGAAGCGGTGGACCAAGAGGAACCGGTCCGAGGTTCGCGGATGCACGCGTCGGCTCGCCGGTTGACCCGTGGAGCTTCTTATCGTTCGCCAAACACCGAGCAACGCGGTCATCCGAGTAACGCGATGGACTCGTTCCTCGACGTGCCACGAGGCTGCTTAACGAGACGACTAATTCGAACGTGTTAGGTCCACGAGGAGGAGTAGTTGCTGGTGGTGGCAGTGTAAGAGGAGTAGGAGAGCCTCGGGAAGAGGTGGAGGAGGAGGAACAGAGAAGGAGGAGGGGGGCAGAGTACGTAGCCCGGTCCTCGCCACCCGCACTACCATCGGACAATGAGTCGGAAAGGGAGAGACTCGGATGCGAACAAGGCGAACAGAGACGGCCAGAAAGTCGCTCGACTCGTATACTGGCCGGCCAGCATGCTGCTCGCACGAAAAGATGACCCCAGAGATGGGACTAGCGTTTGCCGGTACCCCAGACCGAATTACGGGCTTGGCCGGTTTTACTATCGCCGTTGTATTTTCCTTTTCCGACGGTCAACGCTCGATCGAAGAGGACTCGTATTGTCCTCGGGTGTCTTTTGACTAACACCTGACACCTTGGAGACGTTCCCTTGAATAGAAGTTAAAGTGGTAATACTGTTTTACACCGAACCTATCGATCACTAAAATTATTTGTCCTGTGTTATTTTCTTAATTTAATTTATACAGACTTTTTGCTATTTTTATTGTAGTATGTGCTGGAATTAAAAAATGTATTCAGTTATTTCCTGCGGAAATGTCCTCGAAATTTCAATAATTTGTAAAGAAAAATTGTGAAACCGATCATTTTGATCGACGTGGCAGCTTCGATGTTAAATATATTTATAAGTTGAAACGATGTTAGTCGGATCATAAGTTTCGCATAAGTGCAACGTAGGTGGTACTACATATGTATGTCGTAGGTTTCGCCTCATTGGATTTGCAAAATGTGCATCATGTTCGATGTAGAAACGTTCTATTGTTTTTAGAACGATATTATTTTCTGTCCCTTATCAGGAAATTAAACTTGGTTTAAGCACATTTCATGCTGTATCTGATGGAAGTTGAACTCGGCATTCTTGCTAAAGAAGACGTACATTTTTGGTTTCCATCTGTACAAAGGAAGCTATTGTGAAAAACCACTCACGAGAGAATGGAGGCAGCTGCTTTATTTTAAACTGAATACTGTAATGTTATTGGATGAGCGATCAAACGTATGAAACCGTTGTACCAAAAATAGGCTTCTGCTGGAATAAATGGATCAGTGTAAGCGTGGTTAAACTCTCTTGAATTTCGATAATTAGATTGCGAATCTTTATGCAAAATTAAGATTGCCTGAAACAATTGTAAGAAGCGGAAGACAAATAGTTCTTTTATGACTTGAATAGATTGATATTCATTTAATTTTCACACGATTTAAATTTTACTTACCCATTTTTGTCATAAATGCGTAACGTTCGCAGTCTACTGATAACACAACAGTCACTGAAATGTGTTTTCATTCTACCATTTAATGATATAACTATAGCAATAATAATATATTTTATAAGTTGGTTAAGTTAACTGAAAATTAAAATTAAATCACGAATATCGGGTCGACGATATTCTTTCAAAAACTGTGCAGTCCCTCTTAATTATTTCTCTTTTTCAGATTCGCGATTATAATGTAAATTGTGAGACTTAGAGTGAGATAATAATAAAACCAATATATCTGAACGTAAATTCAGAGAATTAAAACGATTTTGTTGAATTATTAGCCCAGCACGCATTCGTTACAAATGGATGTCTTCCACGAGCTTTTAAAAGGAATGACATTTCGGGGAACCAATTTGCTCGAAAGTTTACGACTAAGGGAGGCTATAAAAGAGCTGATTATAAAAAGGGGTAGCTAAATTATGGCACGATTTTGGCTCGACCACGTTTGCCCCTCTTCCGAAGAGAATGCGGACGGCGCGCCGCGCCGCGGTGATTTTCGAAGCCGACGGAGTTCCAGGTCCTCGAAAACACGGACACGACCCTGGGGAAGAATTGAATGGCACGAAGCAGACAATGAATCCACACTCGCGTGGAGCGCGCTTGCATATGGTGAAGGTTCGTTCCAGCTGACCAGGGTCGACCATTGTCATGTTAATGAATAGAAGACACATTTTCGTGCCTGGAAGTTGCGTCCGTTCACGGATTGCGTGTCGTGTAATTACTTTGTAACC